CTGCATCTTTACACAGACTTCCAGGATATGTTCCATTTGCTATTTAGGGTCAGCTTTCATCACCCTGAAGAATGATCTGTGTCTCCAATCCACCATAAATCACTTTAAGGACTGATGGCTGTCACACAGATGTGGAGAGTCCATTAGCAATGGCTGAAGCAATTACTGCCCGCAGATGTTGACTGACCCTCTCTCTTCCCCAAACCTGACTGAGGGACCAACTACATGCAGCACTTAATGCAACCAAAGAGATAAACACATACACATGAAACTGATTTTAAAAGACCTGTGTAAACATAGGGACAAAAATCTGAAACAGCCGAAGCAGAGGCACAGATTTCACTGTGCCGAACATGCATCAGGAACTCTGTTTTCCCTGCAAAAGCGATAAAAGGAGCTGAGAGGGAGGTCACATACAGCTGTTTGTTCAGTGGATTCAAGTCTGTGCTGTAGCCAGTGGGCGTCCAAAACCTGTAGGCTAGCTAAATGACAGCAGTGATTTCATTAAATGTCCCTATCATCCTGTAAAATACTACGAGATTTATAATACAACTTCCACTCAAACTGTGGAGTACAACCTGTAAAGACAATTGTATCTTCACACCCACATTGTAAAATAGCATCATTTCAAATTTCTAATGAAATGGCATTTTGTTTGTTGTTTGAAAATATAACAGTATCCCCAAATGCTTCTCTCTTCCACGAAATTAATACAACTGGGAAAAGATGAACAGAGATCACTCTTTATACATACATTTCACCAGTAAACCGGTTTTAAGTTTACATCAAAAAAGGAGTAACAGCTGCTAACATACCATGTAGAGCTCAGTGACAATTCTCCTGTCCTGTGAAAAATGTGAAACAGGAAACATTTTGAAATAGTGACATCAGGAAGAATTTAAGCTTTCTCAGGGTTTTGTCACAAAAAACATGAGGAACAGATCATAAAGCAACTGATTCCTGAACAACACTTTTCACATCAATGTCTCCACTACTTACCTACTCAATGTCTTTACTGTTGTACAACAATTTGTGATTCTAAAACTTCTTGCAAGTCTTCAAACAGGAAACAGTATCACTTTTTTTACAATTCAAATATGAAGTACAACATTAATACAACACCGGTGTGCACACAGCAGAATATTTCCTAAAACGCCTTCACAGATCCCTCAGAATTTTTCCACTTGTACTAGGTGTAGGGTTTCCAGGGACAAGTAGGCCACTGCAAAACATCTTCCCAGACTATATATATAACTCCATAACTGAGGGCCGTGCTGTACAGAAAATGTTTACTTGATAAATAGAGGTCTGCATGATTACAAAAGAAATAGAAAGAAAATGCTGTCTCTGCATGAAGAAGGGATTTTTATACCACAGTAAAAATTAACCCTGCTTGGCTATTATAAGCAATTGGAAACAAGCAAGCTAATATTACATTGCACATGCTCAACAGATCATGCTTGGTTCCTGACGAACCACTCAATCTGCTCTCCCAAGCCTGTCTGTGAGGCCTGACAGGTGTCACCATGCCGCAACCAAAGCCGGGCTGCGGGTACCATAAAGGTGCACACTGGAAAACACTGCACACTTTGGGTCACCTGTGGCACCAAGCAACAGAACTATGAGCAACTCCAATCCTCCAAACTGTCAGATTTTTCCAAATTTGGGTTTAAAAAAAACTCAACAAAACAAACACAATCAAAACCTAGTTTCTGTACTTTCCAAGTGCTTATGTCAAGTACTCTGAAGTTTCCTGCAAGTAAAAAGCTAAGCACTGAGAACTGTTGTCTCAGCTTTTGGATTTCACTCTGGTGTGTGAAGTAATTAAGACTCAACTAATCCACTTGGATAGGAAACAGAAGCAGAACTCCAGACAAACAGGTGGATTCTCTATGCTGATGAGATCGATTCCTAGGTGAACACTTTCCACCTCAGTGTGCTTATTCTCACTTGAGAATGTTTTCTTTAGGCAGACAGTGTTTACAGGCTAACCTGAAGAACAATGTGTATTTTTAGGAACCACTAGACAGGTTTTGGCCGTGCCTATCACTGCCTTAAAGGAGTCTGACACAACTTTTTAATGATTAGCTAATTCAGTTGATGCATTCGGTTAGCACAGAAAAGAACTTAAGCTGAACCATTTCAAACACAGTAAATGCTTGTCATAAATACACTGGTATGGACCATGACATTACACTGTCACAGTAAGATTCAGTTTCAACAAATTTTAGGAGTTTGTGGCTTTTCATTATGAAGAGACTGCCTAGCCCTTGAGATGATGGGATGAGATGACTTACTTTCCTTCACTGACTCCTTACAAGTCGGAAAAAAAGTTGTGATGAATTGCTAGTTAAAAAATCCTGCTTTTGCACTTGGACAAGCACGTGACCTCTTTAGAGAAGTGTTAGCTTGCAGTTCTGAAGCATACTGCTGTAAATTTTGCATTTTCCAAAACAAGAAAGAGAGAACTATTGTGGGAAATAAAACCAGCAGCTGTGCTGACCATAAGCAAGGCAGGTGATAAACAGTCTTACCTTCTATGACTGCCCCATTACAACAAAGGCCTTGCTAATAGCAACAAGGCAAGTGTTAAGCTATTAAAATCAAGGCCGTATCATTTCCACCAACTTCTCCATGTCTCAAGGATGCATGTATCCTCCTCTAACACTTATAGCAGGGTAACTTATGATCATATTACAATACCAAGGGTTTCCCTAGATCTCTCCACCCTATGCAACATCATCGTATATCCTTCAGAAAGATTCAACATGCTTTTATTTTCCCTCCAACAAATTAGTACAGATAAAGCACCAAAGTCCACGCAACAGCACTTCTAATACTGTTTGTTTACTTCGATGAAATGGAAATGAGTTGTGTAGAACTCCAGTAAATGTGAGAAGCAGTATTAATTAAAACAACAAAAAAACAATACAGGACTGGAATAATGCCAACAGCTGAGTTATTGCTCTCAATGGAGGTGGATGTACCGCACTGTGGAAGCAAGAGGCTTTACCTGCATAATGAAATGTAAGTACATAACCAAGGATGAGTTTTGTTTACTTGTTTTTGGTGGGCTTTCTTTGTTTTTGACCCTGGATTTTTTGCACACTCACTTCTAATTCAAATTTTACCAAGAGATTACAGATTATTTAGTGATCTTTTACTTCTTTAGCAAACCAGCAGCTTTGATTTTGTCACAGAACTTTCCAAGCTCTATAATACAAGAAAGAGGAGAAGACACTTCAGAGGTCAAGAGCATCCCAGTACCATGATTTGAGAATGATACTGAATGAAATTCAGAAGGAAAATTCTCAAGCCTAGTTTTAGAAGCAGCGAGGAATGTAAGGAGAAAGACTCAGAACTTCCTTCCACAAATGAAATTCTCAAATTGAAATAACCTAATGGATGAAGTGCTACTCCCACAAATCACAGACAACTTGTATATTACTGAATGAGTACAAAATCCGTGGACGCTTCCCTGCTGTGTAGATGTGATATGATTAACTGTTTGTTTTCTACAATCTGTCCATGAAAACACAGTACTGCTAAATTAAGTGACTAGAAAATCACTGTAAAATTTTCAGTAACTTACAATTCACAGGACCTATACAGTAAATCAAGGTATTATTTTTTCTTTTGATCAGTGATACTGAACTAAAGATAAAGCAACTTCGCCTAATAACCTGTCCTTTGCTGAAAAGTATGCTTACAGTGATTCCCATATAATTTAGGCTTCCATCTAAAGCAATTCAGTTGATACAGAAATTTCTCACATTTCTTGAGGTTAATAGTGCCAACATTTGACCTTTTTAATCTGCATACACTCCAAACTAACAGAAATGTGACCTGTTGATAGCCAGACTCCTTTGCCAAGATCTTACTGTTTAAACACACTGTGTTCCTTCAACCAAATACCAGGCAAACACAGGAGATCCTTCCTTTGGTTTTGGCTTACACTAAGGCCAAAACAAACAAGTGCCTCCATAGGTAGTTATCTGCCCAAATGCTACAGACAGGCTGCCTGTGTGGGGATTCCAAATCCAGAAAGCAGTCCAACCTTGTTTCTTTAACAGATGTGTCATGGGAAGACACGTAGGAGCTGCAAGAACTTGTGTCTAGAACATCAACAGTTCCGATTTTACGTGTGTCCTTCTGGAGTAAACCAGCTGTTTGCCAGGCCACCGAAGAGCTGTAGGCTCATTAATAGAATGAATGGATGATTTTTTTGCTAATTCACGTTGAACAGATCATTGCCATCAACCCGAGCAGCTCTGCCTGCAGCAGGGGGGTTGGAGTTTGATGATCCCTTCCAACCCAAGCCATTCTATGATTCTATGAAAAAGCTATAAATTCCAGCAGGGAAAAAATAACAACTCTCAACTCCAGCACTCACGTTAAACCATTTCTGTCATGTTTTAAGCACTTCAGTGCCACTCAGAAGAACCCAGCACAAGGGCATTAATACCGAAGGCCAGCTAAAACACAAAGCAATCTATTTTACTAAGCTTGTCCCAACTCTTTCGCTCAACGCCCCGGCTGAAAAAAGGAGCAGAGTAACAAAGCCTTCCCAGCTCACCGTCCATCTCTCCGCTCTCCTCATTCCCGCAGACCTCCACAGTTCGGAGATGGATCCCCGCGGCGAAGCGTCTCCCCGGAGCCACGGGCACCGAAGGCGCCGCTCACCTTCTCGCAGTCCATCACCGTCGCAGCCCATCGGGAACCAGGCGCACTCCCCCCGCCCCCCTCCCGCTCATCCCAAGGACGGCGCTGCAGGAGGATCGCCCCTCGGGGAGGGCTCACCCCGCCGCCCCCCGCCCGCAGCCGGAGCAGGAAGCGGTCGCGGAGCCGCTCCGAGCCGCCCCCCCCACCCCGTCACGCCCCCTTCGGCGGCGGCCTCTGCCCGGCCGTCCCGCGGCCCCCGCCGCTCCGCCGCCCGCGGAGACGAACGGGGCGGCGCGGCCCGAGCGGCGCGAAGGGGGCGGCACCCTCCCCGCGGTTACCTTCGCGGTACTTCTTGCGCAGCCGTCGGTGGACGCTCTTCACCACCCCCGAGAGCTTCTCTTGCTCCAGCTTCCGCTCCTGCTCCGGGGGCGGTGGGGGTGGCGGCGGAGAAGCGGCAGCCCCGCCGGGCCGAGGCCGGGACCGGGGAGCGGCCTCCATGGCGGTACCGCTGCTCCGCCGCGCGCAGCCCGGCCGAGGGAGGTGTGAGCCGGACGCTACGGGACAACGCGCGTGCGCCGCCCTCCGCCGCGCGGCGTGCCGGGAAATTGAGTCCGCGGCGGCCAAGCGCCTCGCGGGGCCTCCAGTGCTGAGGTGCTGTTCCGAGCACAGCTATGAGCAGAACAGGTCGAACACCCCCGAGCTCATAGCAGGGACATCTTTCGTGCTGGCCTGTTCGGCTTCGCTAGCAGCAGCTAATTTGTTCTTTGAGGACGTTCATAAACGCTAAGAAGTTAATTGCGGTTACAATTAAATCACATGGATTTGGGCAGGGTCAAAGTTTCATCCCAGTGAGAATTTGGTGAGATGCACCACCTCGCCCTGTGGGCTGTGTGACATTTCCATCGCTCTGTCCTGCCAAAAGGATTATTTTGTGTCCGGTCAGGGTACGGCATCATTCTGCTCTTCCCATAAACTTCTAATTGAAGATGCAATTATCGAAATGAAATAACTGTTCAGACAAAAGCTTTTCTTTGTTATCGACTGCAAAGTCATCCCTTTCTTACCTCACTCTGAGCTGTGCAGGCAAAACCTGCACTCCCTGCAGGCGGAGACTGTGTGTTGTAAGTGACGGCCTGGCTTTTCCAGGCGTTGCAGTCTAAGTGCTTAAAGAACTGCAGTCCACTTTGGTTCTTGCATCACAAGCTTTATATGCCACTGTGTATTTTGCTGTCAAAATATTGCAGGCTTCTCCCTTCCCCACTCAAAACACAGGAACATCATGAAGGGAATTGAAGCTTGTCACTGATGATGGCAGTAAGAAAGGATAGAGAAGAGTGGTGTTTTAGTTATTTTTAGTTACGTTTTTTCTTAAAAATTTCAAACTGCTATTAAACAAAATAGGACAAATTAATTAAAAAAACAACTAGTGTACCTAGTGCATACGAATTTCACTTTCACTTGGAAGACGTCTGGAAATGAGTGTCTTGTACAGGTGACTCCATTTCATATTCACAAGAAGCTAAACTGGCATTAGAAAGGAGGCTCAGTGCAGCGGCTCTACCTTGCCTTGCTGTAATGCTTCCAGTGTTATATGCAGGCCACATAAAAACATTAAGTCAGTGTAAAAAGAGGAGACTGAACTGATAGCTAGTGGGGACTTTTTGCTTTAAGGGCAGCCTACACAGTGGTTAATGCTCCATCCACTTTAAGTTGTGTAGGATTTGGGGAAGCACAGAATTAAGAAGAAAAGCATGAGTCAGTCCTCTGTGTGTAGTGTATTGTCAGGAGGCTACTGGGAGTACTGGAGGGACAGAAAAGAGATGGAAGCATTTGGAGAATGCCTGACTTACTGCTGTGGGATCAACCCTACCGCCCACAGCCCAGAACAACTGAACTCAGAATTGTAGGGTACACATGAGTGGATCTGTGATCTGGAAAACTGTATAACTGCCTGTAGAATTGGACAGTTTGTTCCCGTGCTCTGTCACCTTCAAAGTAAACAGGTTATTTCTCATGTTCAGATGAACTTTCTGTGTACCAGTTTGTGCCCATTACCCGTTGTTGGGAACCACTGAAAAGAACCTGGTTCCATCCTCTTGACTCTCACACTTTAGATATTTATATACATTGACAAGATTTTCCCTTCAGTCTTCACTTCTGCAGTCTCCCAGCCTTTCCTCATAAGGGAGGTGCTCCAGGCCCCTCAACATCTTTGTTGCCCTCCTCTGGACTCTTTTTAGATCCCTGCCTTTTTTGAAGGGAGGAGGCCAGAACATGGCGCAATACTCCAGATGTGGTCTCAGCAGAGCAGAGTTTACATTCTTCATTGCTAAAGAAGTAAATTATAATTTTAATTTCAGTAAGCAAGTAAAAGAGCATTACTGGATTACTCAGGAGTACACAAGGAAGAAGCTTTATACTTTCAGAATACTTTCAGATCATTACCTTGGTTTGGCAATGGAGACATGCTGTAAATTCCCTACAGAATATGTGGTGAGAATTAGCTTCCAGCAACGGAATCCAAATGCGAAGTTATCAAAGGAGGAGCATGTAGATTCCAGAAGGTGATGGCAACCTGGTGATTAAAGCAGGACTGGTTCTGACAGACCTGGAGCTGATGATCCAGTGGTCTGGTGAGGCAGGAAAAACAATTGTGCTGAATACATTTCTTGTACACAGTACAGGGAGAGTCAAGGAACAAACAGAGATGAATACAAGTCTTGTAATTGCCCCTGAGGCAGGACAGCAGAACTACTGATAAGCATTTGCACTTCCTCCAAAAGAATAAGAGAAATTCTTATGTCCAGATGGAGACAATGGAGTTTCACTGCTTGGGAAATAATCTTTTGAGCACTTGTACCAGCTACCTTGAATATAGAAAATGCCTGAGAGATCCTCTGTATATTACTTGCTTTTTAGGAAAAAAAAGCAGATTTAGGGCAAACTAGGATAGGTTTGTTTTTTTTTGTTGTTATTGTTGTTGTTTTGGTTGTGGTGGTGGTATTTGTTTGTTTGTTTGTTTTAACATTTCTGAACTATTTTAGCACCCATCACTTTTCCTGGATGGCTTTGGAAAGAAAAGCCTAGATTCACAGACTGGGAAGAGAAATTACCCCTTCTCTATCCAGTGCTCAGGTGGCTGGGATGTTGACTGAGGGTGTGGGAAAACCAGTTCACATGCCTGCTCTGCCTACAGGGATCTGAACCCACATTTTCAGTACCCAGTGATACAAAGGGGAAGTGCTTTTCCTTTCTTCTCTAGGGAAGGGTGTCAGCAGTCTATATTTTCAGTCTTTCTCCTTGGAAAAAGCATGGAAGAAAAGTAACATAGAAACTTTCTGAAATGAGTGGATCAGCATTGCTCTGCTTCCATTTCTGTTCCAGTGGCAGTTTGACAATCAGGTCTTTTCAGCCTGTTCATCCCTTCTATCATATTGTTTCTGGTAGTTGCAAAAGGAAACAAAAAATGACACAGCATCAAAGAGAATAATCTTTTATAGATAACACTCTTTATCTACTGTGATGGCATCACCATAAGATTCTCTAATGCAACACAAGAATATTACCAAAAGCATGTAATGATTTTAATGGAATACTGAGATACTGAGATAATTTACAAGGAATAAAATGTTCTTTGTTAGATGTGGAACTATTTTTGCTATTTATACATGAAGGGAAGACAAACAGGAATCAACAGCATATTTGCTTTGCATTTAAAATTTTCCTTATTAATTGTGGTGTCCTATAAGCCATGAAATGCAGGTAATTTGATTTTAAAAGTGGGAGTCACATGTCTAAATTTGCACTGAGGCAATTATTAAGAGGTAGTCCATTATTACATTTCTCTAGACTACACACTTTAGTAATTTAGTAATTAGAAATACATAGTAATTAAAACTGCTACCCCATAACAATAATTTTTGAGTTATAGAACTGAGATTCCATTCCTGGAGGTTGACACCTCTGAAAGTCCACTTACATCAGCAGTTCCATTACTTAGGCCCCTGTGCTTTTTTTAATGGCAAAAGTAGGCCTGATAATGACTACAGTTTGCACCTGACATCCCAATATTTACTGAAATAAAAAGTTTGCTTGTGGAAAACAAAAGATTCTTCTATTGAAGGATCAATTAATGTTGCTCCTCATGTAGCTGGAGACAGCCAACTTAGTGACAAAGGCTGAAAAATCCATCACGTCTGCGGTCTCATTATGGAGTCTAACAATGTATTCCCAAGCTCACCAGAATTAGACACTGATAGGAGATTTTATTTACTGAAATCATGTCTTTTGCTTGCTAGCTTGTGTTGCAGTAAAGCAGGAGTAATTTTATCAGTAGCCAGTATTTCTGATAAGCAGTGCATTAGCTGCCTCTGTTCTGGTCAGCAGATACCAGCTGTGTCTGTCCCTGGGAGGTTGCTGCTTCTTTTGCTATAGGAAAGAAGCTGAAAATGCTTTAATCACTTCAGTCTGTCATTTGTTTAATAATAATTAGGTGAATTAAACTATTGAAATGCTTACTGCAAATGTAGCGAAGTTCCTTATAAGTCAGTTATTTTCAGTTTCATCTACAGTGCAGAAGGGAAAATGATCCTTTCATTATTGAAAGGATAATATTGAATATTGAGAATAGATTATGCATTTTTTTAATAAAAGCTGTACTTTATAGTATAAATTCTTTGTAGCATGCGGAATGCAAGCATATGTAATTCTCTGCTAAGAAAGATCACTAAATATAAACGTAACTTATTGAAAAGTAATCCTGTATTCCTTCAAAAACCTATTTTTTGTCATTGATTTCAGTCTGATCAGATTCTCCTGTTATTTGGAATGAATAAATTATTGAATGAAGAGAGTCAGTATAATGATTGCTTTAACAAAGACTACCAGATACTCTTTCCAGGCTGAGTTTCTTAGTAGCTGATTTCTTGTTGCCATAAAAGATTAACTCATAAAATCACTTTGATTTAGCAAGAGATGTCAAAACATCCAGCAGGTCTAACTGGTTTCCTTTCGATGTCAGTCAAAATACTATGTGGTTTTAGCACTGATTCATGTTTCTGTCAGCTGCTATGCACAAGATTGCTGACTAATCAATTCAAACACAGTAACTCGAAGAAAATTCAGTGCTAGTAGAAAAGCTTTAGTGTTTGAATATTTCTATATCTAGGGAACCTGGTAGTATTAAGGATGTTCTCAAACCTGGAATTCAAATTCAGATCTTCCCAAATGGGTCAGATATGTACAATTCCAGTTCAGCTCAATAGCACTGTAGCTGTACATGAGCTCATTCTGAACTTAGGAAATACTCTGTATACTCTGCAGTATCTCTGTAATCTTGTACTGTAGGTATGATAGCCTGACTCATAAACTAAGATGACCTCACAGTCTGCTGGGAGTTGCAGGTACAAAAAAGCACCCAAAGAAAGACTAAGCTGTGTGTGAACTGTTGAGACAAGGAAAAGAATCTGAAGAAAAATCTGCTTCTGTGATGCTGTGAATAGATCAGGTTACGCTGCGTCATTTCACTTTTCTCTTTCTTTGTCCTTCTAAGTAC